TCTCCTAAAACGTTAAATGCAAAAAAATACAGCCACTTACTAAGATTATAGGTATAACCTAAGACTACGAAATTGTCTAGCTTTGCTAATAAAACGTTTATAGTCTTATCGACCTAAAAAGTAAGTTTCCGTAGAGATACTAAACTATAGGGTCCCGTAGCGACGCGCTTCTTTCGAGTATAAACTTCTTCACGTACTTCTATAAAGATATCGGGATGCTTTAGCGGAGGGAAAACGAAATAGAAGTCGGTCTTATAGAAGCCTTTGCTAGTGGCTAGTATATCCAAAGCCGCCTAAGGCGTTATAAAGGACAATTTATTAGGGGCAATACGGATAACCGGCCCTTATTAACGACCCTATTAGCGAGCTATTTATTGACGAGTCGTCTTTTGAGATAGTACTATAGACTTGATATAAGTTGATATAATCCGTCTTAGTGTGTCCGCCATAGGTACTCCACACTGTATAATAACGTTAACAAAGTACTCGGGCCATCGCTGATGATAGTGTAGAAATATCTCTCCATATTCGGGACCCCGAGGCAAAGTATGGCCCGAGATAAGTTCGAAGTAATAAGCAATGTCTCCGCCGAAGAAATCGTATAATTAGTCCGATTACAGTGGTAACGCAGAGTAAAACCGTGATCATTAACTCTGTCCGTTATGTGAATAATATTGTCGAACTCTATTATATTCGATATAAAGCTTTAGTATTTATGATAGATAGAAAGCCGTAGAGGAACTGCTATCGTATATATTAGACTATTCCTTAGTGAGAATAGATATAAGCCGAAGTAGTCAAAAGAAGTATAGGGGACGGTGCCACTTTTATACACTTAAGATATTAGGACTTTTACGTAGGATAAATAAGTTACTATTTATATTAGACCTACTATTTTTCTATCAGCCTTTTATGATTAAGTTAATTTATATAACCCTTTCGAGTGTACTAGTAGTAATGATTTAAGCGTTCGTATACTTTAGTGATGCTTATATCTTCTATATCGATCGCCGTCCTAGCTAGATTATAAATCCGTTTAATAGAATGGTTATTGTAACAACAATGACGGCTTATGTACTGAATACTACGGCCGCATTATCCTTGGCTAGCTAGGCTGGTTGAAAGAATCTAACCGCGAACCCCTCGCTAGTACGCCATATATTGAGAATGGCGCTTACAACCGTAGCATCCTCCGAGTATTTCTCCATGGCGAAGGCTATGGTAGTACTGTGTCGTTAGATCTTACTCGTAATGATGATTTAGGTGTAGGAGAACTATCTATACTGTGCTGCTAACTAGTCCAATATTTACAAGGACCTAATTAGCCGTAAGACCGATCTAGCTTCTGTTGTAATGTAGAGTTAGCCCGTAAATCAGTAATCCTATAGCCATTGAAACGATCGGTAACTAGACACTATGTAGCCGGTACTCACTCCGCCAATTGCTTTTCCGTTTCCCGTCGGAGCCGTTGAAGATCTATCGGTTGAACAAATGGCTAACCACGTAGCCGAGTAGCGCACTAATTACACCTGTAAAGCGAATAGAGGCGGTAGCGATATTGCCGAATTGGTAAGGAGGGGCGCGAATAATGGCATCGACGGTAGTGGAGATACCGATAGGCTAGGTAAAACTGACCATAGTTAAGATACTAATATATATTAGGGGCGGGGAAAAGATAAGTCTCGCGAGATAGACAGTTGATGTGTAGAGGGTGTAACGTTTTGGAAGTCTGGTGTTTCCGATGCCTATAAAAGCTTTAGCGCGACAAGCCGACTTAAAGGTATTAGATCCGTTATAATAGGTCTTATAAGCAAATATAAGTAGTAAAATAGTAGATCCGCTGTAAAGCCTAACTAAGGCCTTAAAGCAATCGCGCCAGGAATTTATCGCCTCGAGGATATAGCCTACTAGGGTAGGAAATAGAAAAGGTCCAAGCAGAAAAGTTGTGCCCTATGTATTAATGTACTGGGGCTAGTCGCGAGGTGAGTATATATCGTAGATAATAGGGAGTGCGACCACTTATAGAATTGCCCCAAAAAGGCCTTGAAGCGCGCGCAAGGTGGTGAATATGCCCTAGCTGGTCGAAAAAATGTAGCCGACTAGGACGCCGAGCGTAAGGATCTGAGACTAGAACTAGATTGGGAGCCTAAGAATAAATTATCAAAAGCCTCGCCGTATAGTGGCGGAACGACATGAACCTTCCGTATGTATTGATGAATGGGACGCATAAGGTCCCATCGACTCCTTAGAGAAGGATCCTATAGCTAAGGGACGTAGCTAATTTTACAACGGAGATACCCCATTCCTACGCTTACGGCACCACGAGGGTAGCGCCCTAAGTTATACCTCTAGAACTAAGGTCAATCAGAGACTAAGTGAACGCAATAAGGGGTAGTTCTGACCTACCTATCGGCAAGTAAGCAACTCGATATCAAAGTAAAGAAGATTATTGTCTTCTTCCAAGGCCTCTAAAGATATGGAGTTTACTCGTTAGTTGGTATTATTGCACTAGTAGGGCTAAGTATAACGGTCTAGATATTAGACTAGTCTAATAAAGAAGGGATAGAGGGCATTATAAAATCTAGCGCGTAAGGACGGTGCTTAAAGGAGCTATAATCTCGAGGGAGCGGTAAAGTAAGGAGGAAGAAACTACAATCGTGGCTCCGAGCTTAAGTACTATAGTTGTATATACTAGGGACTGGCGAAGTAAGTGCGATAGATCGATCGGTGAGTACATTATCCACCTTGACAAGAAGGGAGAGTGGGTTATAATAAGCACAACCAAGGCGCGTATATTATAAGCTAACTTGAAATAAGTAAGTTACTAGTAATAGAAAGCTTCTGAAACCTTACGTACCTACTAATCGCTAATGAGTTGCAATAAGATAATATAAAGTACGAGATTGTAGCCTATATCTTTCTAAGTTCTTTAGGCGTTGATAACATTCCGCTGCCTAACGATGAGTCTTATTATATTGCTGAATCGTCCTCATAATATCAATGAAATAGTCGTTCAACTTAAGTCTTAAAGAGCTCGTGTTCTTCGCACTGGTTTAAGATCGAGACATTATGATATAATTCAGAGTCTCAGTATTCGCTAAATCGCTTTTTAGACGCGCTAGGTTATTCTGATAACTGACAGTATCTTTCACTGAAGCTTTTAGATACTTTATGAGATAGTCTTCTTCGGTAACTGGAATCCGTATAGCTTTGATACTAATCATTGTAAAATATGGCTCGAGACCGACCGTTTTGCAGCGAATCTTTAGATAGTGTTCTAAGTTATAGGAGTGGGCTTCACGGAAGAGAATCTTCTCGATAGTGCCTATAATAACCTAATAGATTTATAGGTATATCTTAGCGACTATCGCTAAAGGTAATAGTAACTATAAGTGAACTCTAAGAGCCTCGCTATAACTTCTAATATTGTTCAAAACCGTAAAGCTAGAGTCTATCACGTCTTCTATGCAATATTTGCTTTATTGGTTAAAGATTATCCAGGACTTAATAAGTTCCTGGATCGCTAGCGGCACTTCCATTTTATTGACAATATTAGCGACCATATGAAGATAAGAGAACTAGGAAGCTATAGCGGTTTTCGCTTCCTAGCGTTGCACATTCGGAAAGAGCTAAGTAACAATAGTAGGACTTTTAGACGCAATTTCTTTCCATTCTTCCTAAAAACCGGCGAGGAATTGTTGGTGAGCAGCCACCATATGATCGTCTAAGTCCATATTATCTGATAGAGGATATAATAGCAATTCCAGTATATGGGCGTAAGGGAGAAAGGCGTTACGTTCATAGCTTTCTGATAGCACCTCTTTCATGGTGTACGAGAAAAATAGCTATAATAGAGAGCTTCGGTATAAAAAAATAAGTGTTGAACGATAAAACCTCTTCTAGGAGATAGAAAAGTTTGGTCCTTTAAGTTATAAATGAGTACGACCTCTACGTAACAATTGACGATAATGTCTACTTTTTATACGATCTATATTAAAAGATAGCCGCTTACGTAAATAATAAACTAAAGCCTACCTACGAGATATTATTAGGTTTAGTCAAAGTTTTAGAACTGAAGCAGATGACTCAAAAGCATCTACTCACTACTCCTACGATCAATACTATAGGGGATAAACTCTAAGATACTAGACCACATTAGATATAGCTGGTCGGATTGATTTTTAACCAAAAGCTACGATAGTACAGTAGTAGGCGTTGATACTTGCTACTTATACGTCTTTTATGCCTATGGAGTGAGCACTGTATACTGTAACCGAATTCACGGACAAGATCCATACCGTAACTAGAGGGCTATTCTTCGACCCAATTCAACTATATATTCTATACACTATAACCTATTATTCGCTAGGGCCTTCCACCGTCCGTCTTTTCTTCGCAACACATATATTATCGTCTACGGACCTCTTCCGTTTTCGATGGTTAGACGTTCCAAAATAAGTATTCAACCCTTGTGCGTTCATAAGGTCAATAATGGCGGACGGAAGCCCGCTTATATAAGCGCCCTGGGCAGATGAACCGTCTATACGTATCGATATACTAATTTGATCTCTAGTTTCGTACTATATACGTCTACAGAAGTTGCCATTCTTGTCGCGATCGGTGGAGTTATCCTATACGCCTAAGATTGGCTCTCCATTCACGTACAGTTAGGCCCATTAAGACGCGAGTCGATCGAGTAGTACCTTAAAAGCCGGATCGTCCCCTAGTATCGAACACAAAACAATCCCGGCCCCAATATACTTTCTACCTCGGCGATAAGGTATACCACTCAGTTCGAAGTAAAAGAGAGACGCAATAGCACAACGAACTAAACGATCAATCGGCTCCACTAAAGAACCATCGCTCTTAACTCCTTGCTAAAGCTCTCGCATTTGATTTACGTCGTTAAGGGCATAGTCACAATTTATCTCGTAATCTAGACGGTAATATCTAGAATGATAAGCGAACACTTGGCGAACCTATTTGTCTCTGGATTTCTTCTAAACCAGATCCTGGATTCGGAAGGGAGCTTTATAGGGCTTGATATTATGAGTGTCTCGCTTCGAATTAGCGTCTAGGACTATTCCAGTGCCTAGAGATACAATTAAATCGGTACGTAACGACGGATATAGCATTCTAGCTTCCGACACCACGGTGCTGACCGGGTCGTTCTCCAGAGGACCCGCATCCTGAAACGTACCTAGAGAGGCAATCTCTTTTGTTGGGAAGAATCTGTAAGACCGTATCAATCTCGCCTCGACATTACGATGTGGTTTACCACTTACGTTGGGGCGGCAAATGCGGCCCGGGCGCTAATCGGCATTAGTTAATATCGAAGCATACTTTAAACTACAGTAAAATGGAGGCTTACATTTCCTAAAGGCAAGTATTCCACGCTCCTATCAGTTTTCTTGAGCCACACCATATTTAGTGACTTCAAGGAATGTGCCACTTACCTAGATTGAAATTATCCTACGCAGGTTTATTGTAATTCGTAAATAAGCGACAAGAAGGAGTTTTCAAAACCGTGGCGGCTAGGACCAGAAGCTTTGTACCCAGCTAGGTCGCGTACGAGCAGTCTAGCATCGTTGTCGACTTACCAAGAAGAGACTATAGGATCGACTCGAGGTTGTCTGGTCGGTAACAGCCATCTCGAAGGTACCACTTTACGATCTTCGTGAGCCAAGAGACGAAAGGAACTTTCCCTGGTTTATCTTACTCGAATACCGACTCCGTCAATTACAAAATCATCCGGATATATTTATCAACCAAGTCGCCACGGTTCTATATATTCAGTGTAACAAAGCTTCCTATATAAAGGTTAGTCTTCCTAACCCCTTCTAAAGATAGGGTATATTCACCGAAGCTAACGGTACTTACCACTTTAAAAAACTTCTGAATCGGAATTAAGAGGTCTATCCGGTTTTGAATCCTCCTTAGCACCGTTAATGGGATAATGGCCCGAGTTCCATCTCCGTCAATGCTAAGGATGCTTACTCTACTAGTCGGAGGCTTAACGGCTACCGTGATTTCTCTGTCCTAGGTACCCCTATAGAGGAAATATAAGTCAATTCGATAGGTCTACGGCTAACTTAGTAGAGTACGTCTAAAGATCTAGACGCAGGTTTCGTAGAGATAGTGCCTATAAGGGAGTCGTAATGGGGGTGCTCGCCGTATACAGCACTAGCAAGTCGTCTCGCTATGAATATAATCCCATCTATCGGCGAATTGTTAGATAATATAAGAATAAAAAGACGCGCTCGATAGTTGTGCCTTTAAAATTAATGTGTCGAGGTATTGCGATAACTTACCCTAGACAAGCTTAAGGACTGCTAAGCGCAGGATAATGTTCGGTGAGCCTTCGAAGGAGACCACCCGACCACTAAGTGCCTCACTGAGGACGTCCCGGTAAAGGGATTGAAATACCTAAGTAGATTCAAACACTATACGCTATCAGCCCGCTATTCTTCTTTCATGAGTAACTAATGTGCTCGCTCCCACGACTTACCGTAGCAGTTAGAAGGGTAGTTATCGATTAACAAACTTGAGGTAACGACGGGCACCGCGAAGTTCGTTAAATCTTAAGCGGTGTCGTAACTCTTCAAGAAGTTGGCTAGATACGCAGTATAATCTTCGGTTAATAGGTTATAAGATCGAGAGGCTTTAATGAAATTAAATAGCTCCGAACTTAAGGCGAAGAAGTGCTTACAAGTAGACTCAAAGAATGCTATAAAGTGGGTTAAAGAGTACAAAGTACGTATCTTACGTTTAGATTGTTCGGTATCCTAGATACGCAGTATAAGTTGATGCTACAAGCGCCCTAGGGATGACGGGGAACGAAATTTCTGATTCTGCGGGACGGCAATAACCTCGATGAATGAGAATAAAACAAATGGATCTAAGTTGGTCTCTTCTCTCAATAACCGTAGAAGGTCTTTTTGGGCTTCGTTTTCGGCTACCTAGGTCAGTGGGATCTTGTTAGTCACGACTACCACGGAGGGTCGGGTGAAAGGCGTCGAGACGGAAATGGTTACGTTACGCAGCTAGTTAGCTAACTAAGATGCAACTCCCCGAAATCCTCCTACATCAGATACAAAGATACAGAAGACATCGGCGAAGGGTAGGAGAAGGCGGCCATAGATTGTTTGTTCGGTGCGCTATATATGATAAGGTTCTAATCCACCAGCAGCATCGTCACGCAGTGGCCACCTATGCCCATCATAACAACGGTAGCGGTTCGACGTTCAACGAATCCGCCTGCCACCGATAGAACCAGTAGTAAGAAGAATAGGTCTCCTAGAGCTTAGCGACGCGGGGGCCACGTAAAGACCGATATCACCAATATAGGGTTTACACTTAAAAAGGCGACTTCGATAAATGTCGAAGAGCTTCTCGAGGGCGATAGATTTTACTTGGTAGCCCATAAACACGAGCAGGCTAGGATAGGCTTCATTAGGCTATTCGAATCGTGAGCAAAGTACTCGCAATCTACCTATATCTATAAGAGATCTCTTATAGCTCTGCTTATATATACTAAGCCATTGATAATGGTTGTAAAGCTTTATAGTTATTAAAGTTATCGTAGTTTTAGTGGTTGCCGCTTAGGAGCAAGTATTTTAAATAGATAGATTCGTTGGTTTAGTCCTATCCTTATAACATCTATATTTTACTCTACGATCCTAAAATAGAAACGTCGAGATATCAATAGATATATAAGAATTAATTTTAGTACAATAGAGTATTCGGGACTTAGTTACCGTACCCTACAAGGTCGAAGTGTCAATAGTCGGACAGTCCCTTGCCGATAGGGCTAAACGCCTTCCGGCGTCCTCGAGGGAACTCAGACACAGACATCTCCGAGAGTCCCTCTTGAAGCTCGTGTGCCTATTTCCTATCGATCCCTCGGATCTCTTTCTCTAGATCCTCAATATATACGTTCAAAACCATATATACTTCGAACGCCTCTCGCAGTAGCTTTGTAGTCGATTGCCACTTTTCTTCCCCCCTTTTGATGCTGTGCTCTAACTAGATATTTTCCTTTAACAACCTTTCGACAAAGTCCGAATCTATCGCATTTTGAAGCTGGTCAACTTGATCGAGTAACGAATCTACGTTTAGTGCGGCTTTCAGTGGATTCGGACTATAGAGCTTTATCGTAGAACTTATCTTCGAACCATAAGAGCGTTACTCGTTTAATTTTCTGATCTCGCGGTTGATGACGATATTGTTGGTATAGGGCGTATCCAATCTTCCTAGTAAAGTGCAGCGACACTCTTATGCTTCACAGCGTTTGCATATCCGAGAATACCTACGCCCAACCTATCAGCGCAATATATAGGACTCTTCGGAATAATATTTTTCCGCCGAAGCAAGCTAAGATAGTGGACTATAATGGGCTATCCTAGAAAGGAACGTTCGAGCCGGCCCACCAGCTATAGTACTTAACCCTTTTACTATAGAAGAAGGAAAGCGCCCCATCGAGACGATTCAGTGTTAATATTAGAATATATCAGCCGCCCGCAATGCCATGATTATCGAAGCGGACGCTATTCCACGACGCTACAATATCGTTGCTTTCCTATTATCCTAGCTGATTTACACTAGCTACCTATTCCTCCCGGGAATATTCACCTCGCTCGAGAGCTAACTTAATAATGACAACAGTCGAAGAGTGGTTTAAACGGTAAAAAATGTCTTATTACTCTAGCTAGCGGCGATATGCTACATTATTAGGACTGCTGGACTAGGGTATCTATGGTGGATATGGAGTTCCAATTCGGTGTGGCTTATTCGAAACGTGTTCTTGTGAGTGCCGTATCCTATATAATGCTAAGTCTACTGAACAAGCTCTGTCTAGACCAGAGACGGCCAGCTCATTTCTCGGCTCGTTGAACACGCTTATCAACGTCTACTCCTTATATAATGGATATTAGTCTACGACGGCGGTCGTTGCTATAATAATTAACACAGTATTTCTCGTGGGAATATTAGCGTCTTTACTAATTTATAAGTATGGGCTTTATATGATGGTTAGATCTAGCTTTGATCCCTTCTTACGTAGGAGGTTTAGGTCTAGATGAGCTACTTAAAGGTCTTTCGAGATACGCGTACAATATTAAGAACGAAATAATATCGAATTAAATTATACAAACTTAGACCTTACGAGACTACCAACACGTATAGTACTATACATAGACATTCTTGAATCTATCTGCCGCCCCTATTAGTTGATCTTAAGCTCCCTCGTCCTAGCGCGTATAACTCGTCGCTCTTATTTACTAACCGGATCTATTCGTTCTGGGGATATTGGCTCGCTCCACTCGTCACCTTTAGAAGGGGTCGACATATTTGTGCACGAATCAGCCTTGCTACGGAAGTAAAGACGTACAAGAGGCCTCTTTCGGAGGGCATAATTTGACATAACCGGGGAGGCAGCTCGGTTATATCCTGGCCATAGATAATGCTTCGAGGGACAATATCTTTGGTAACGATGATACCTTGGTCGCAGTTAGCGATGGGTGTCATCAGCCCTTCTTTTATTAGACGTTATATTCTAGCTAGAGATTGACCCTTCGGAAGAAAGAGTATTGTATCGCGTCGTATCAGCGTTAACGGGTGATTAGAGGTTTAGACTGAAAAGAACCACGCTATGGTTTCTATGCCTCAGTAATGGCTTAGTTCTATCCGGAGGTAGAATACTCGTGAGCGCTTTAGACGATGAAAAGGTAAGCGTGTAATCAAATGGTGCACTTTAGTCTATACGCAGCAAATAATTCTTGTCTTATATAGGTATATTTCTAATATATTTCTTATGTTCTAGGTTTAGAACGATATTTATAGTAAATAAGCTGTTACTATCTTTATTCCGGGACTGTTAGCCTATATATATATTTTAACTGCCGCATATCGAACTCTTTACACTTTTTGACTAAATCTCTAGAACTTTCTGTAGTACGACTAAAGCCCTTTACCCGTTAAGCCTAGCTATTATAATCTAGACAATTATCTTTGTAGCTAGCATCGCTCCTTGTTATAGATCTTTCGAATATATCCACCCTTTATGATGTTCGGAAATCGTTTGGGAAGGACCACCGAGGTATAGGATAACTTTGATTCTGTACTAATGTTAATACTCTACTATAACCACGGATATAGACGGCATTAGATACTAGGGTCTAGTCCGAAAATGGTGACTTGCTAGCCTCCGCGTAGCTTAAAATATATGACCGTCTATTCCTACGGATCAGGATATAGACTTCAGTATAACATTGGTTATATAGGTCGTACCCGCTCTTAAAGAGACTTTTCTTACGTCGATAAAATCGTGTTCGTTCCCGTCTAGCATTTTGACGATGAAGAGTCAACCTAGACTCTAATTCGGACGGCATTTTAGATAAGAGCATTCTAGATAATGAAAGGGTCGTAAAATTATAGGTCAGGATTAATGGAAAAAGAAAGAGAAGAAAACCTTATAAAGAAAAAGGAAGCAAAGAGACATGGATACCCTAGTGCTATATATACGGGATGACTAGGTAGAGATTAGATACGCTCCCGCAATGAAATTAGTTCTATCGAGTCCCGGTAATTCTATTGCGGTCCTATCCTATATACCTACCTATCTCTAGAGAATAGATTGCTACTAAATGAATTT